ATGAAGAATGAGGATGAACAACACAATACCAATCAAAATGGAACAATATTATTTATTTATTGAGGGCCTCAATGATACTTTGTACAGCCATTCTCACAAAATTAGTCGTTTATAGCCGTTATTTACGTTCTCTAGTGTAGAAGCAAATCGGTACACTTGATGAGGGAGGGCCTTGGAGAAGAGGCGAGTGAAAAAGGAGCAAGCGTCTTCATTTCTAAGAGAGAGGGCCTTGGAGTGGGAAATGGGAAAGGGACATTGATTGCCGCTCAAATTCTTAATGTCAGTCATGAGGGGGGGAAAATTACTGAGAGGGGACTTTAGGAGAGAAGATGGAAACTATGGAGGGAAATGTGAAAAAAAAAATATGGTTTAACAATTTATTTTATTCAACCATTTTTTACGGAATTCATTTTCCGTCAAAAATCTTCGACAGGAACCATTTTTCGTCGAAAAACTTCACAAAATCAATTTCTTTTCCAATTTATTTTATTCATCCATTTTCGACGGAATTCATTTTCCGTCAAAAATCTTCGACAGAATCCATTTTCCGTCGAAAAACTTCACAAAATCAATTTCTTTTTCAATTTATTTTATTCATCCATTTTCGACGGAATATGTTTTCCGTCCAAAATCTTCGACGGAATTAATTTTTCCGTCGAAAACTTCACAAAATTAATTTCTTTTCCATTTATATTATTCATCCTTTTTCGACGGAATTCATTTTCCGTCAAAAATCTTCGACAGAATCCATTTTCCATCGAAAAACTACACAAAATTATTTTCTATTTCATTTATTTTATTTATACATTTTCGACGGAATGCATTTTGCGTCAAAAATATTAGACGGAATTAATTTTCCGTCGAAAACCTTCACAAAAACAATTTCTTTTTTATTTATTTTATTCATCCGTTTTCGACGAAATCCATTTTCCGTCGAAAAACTTTACAAAATTAATTTTTTTTCATTTATTTTATTCATCCTTTTTCGACGGAATTCATTTTCCGTCGAAAAACTTCAAAAAATTAATTTCTTTTTCCTTTATTTTATTTATACGTTTTCGACGGAATGCATTTTTCGTCCAAAATCTTCGACGGAATTAATTTTTCGTCAAAAACCTTCACAAAAACAATTTTTTATTTATTTATTTTATTCATCCATTTTCGACCGAATCCATTTTCCGTCGAAAAACTCACAAAATTACTTTCTTTTTAAATTTATTTTATTCATACGTTTTCGACGGAATATGTTTTCCGTCAAAAATCTTCGACGGAATTAATTTTTCCGTCGAAAACTTCACAAAATTAATTTCTTTTCCATTTATATTATTCATCCTTTTTCGACGGAATTCATTTTCCGTCAAAAATCTTCGACGGAATCCATTTTCCATCGAAAAACTACACAAAATTATTTTCTATTTCATTTATTTTATTTATACATTTTCGACGGAATGCATTTTGCGTCAAAAATATTTGACGGAATTAATTTTCTGTCGAAAACCTTCACAAAAACAATTTCTTTTTTATTTATTTTATTCATCCGTTTTCGACGAAATCCATTTTCCGTCGAAAAACTTCACAAAATTAATTTTTTTTCATTTATTTTATTCATCCTTTTTCGACGGAATTCATTTTTCGTCGAAAAACTTCAAAAAATTAATTTCTTTTTCCTTTATTTTATTTATAAGTTTTCGACGGAATGCATTTTTCGTCCAAAATCTTCGACGGAATTAATTTTCCGTCGAAAACCTTCACAAAAACAATTTCTTTTTTATTTATTTTATTCATACGTTTTCGATGGAATTCTTTTTTCGTAAAAAATCTTCGACAGAATCCATTTTTCGTCAAAAAACTTCACAAAAACAATTTCTTTTCCAATTTATTTTATTTATCCGTTTTCGACGGAATTCATTTTCCGTCAAAAATCTTTGACGGAATTTATTTTTCGTCGAAAAAATTCACAAAATTAATTTCTTTTGCATTTATATTTATTCATCCATTTTCGACGGAATTAATTTTCTGTCAAAAATCTTTGATGGAATCCATTTTTCGTCAAAAAACTATGACGGAATAAATGTTCCGTCGAAAACCTTCACAAAAACAATTTCTTTTCCAATTTATTTTATTTCCAATTTATTTTATTCATCCGTTTTCGACGGAATTCGTTTTCCGTCGAATATCTTCGACGGAATCCATTTTTTGTCGAAAACGTTTCGACAGAATTAATTTTCTGTCGATAGTTTTTGACGGAATTTGTTTTTCGGCAAAAAATTCAACTATAAACGAATTCTGTCGAAAATTCCGTCAGTAATTTCCACGGAATTTTTTTCTACCGAAAAATTCCGTCGAAAATAATTACTTTTCTAGTAGTGTCGTTCTTCAAATACTCTAATGACAAAAAGGGTGCACTTTAAAAAAATATAATAGATGGTAGCAAAGTATCAATCAAGCTTATGGTGTTCATGAAATTGTTGGTGTCCTAGTGAGCTTCAGAGATTGCTAGCTGTATGCTTATTTTGGTGTAGTTTCCATTCCCCACATGGGTTCATGGTGGCAGTTTAGTTTTCTTTAGGCTTTAAAACCCCAAAATAAATATTGTAAAATAATTTTTAGAATTTTTTTTAGTATAAATAATGAGCTTTTTAACTCTCATGCAAAATTTTAGAGTCTTCCAATGACATAAAAACATGGTAATTGGTAGGACCCCATCATATTTAAAAAAATAAAAAATAAAAAATAAAAAGAATAAAAAAATACTGATAAGCTTGTGACATGAGAAAATCATTTCTGCATTGACAGCAAAAATGATTTTCCCATAAATAATTAGGGTTATATTTATCTCATTTAACATGAGATAAATCAAATTTCTACACACACATAACAAAGGTGGGTCCTATTTTTATTTTTTCTCTTTTCAATTATTTATGGGTCCCCCTATAATTTTGTGACACTAACATGAAATAATCTATCTTCATCAACATAAGAAAAATATTTCCCAAATAATTACTCGCATATATTTTTTTGGAAAAAACTACGCATAAGTTTTCATCTTCAACAGATTCATCAAAAATTGTGATGTTTTTTTTTTTTTTTTTTTTTTTTTTTATAAACGACGGGCTCCATCATATATGTATATGCAACATAAGATATCTTATCGATGAACCCATATTTTATTCGGCAGAGATGCACTTAAATGAGCCAAATCCAACTTGATTTGTTCTGGAGAACTTCCTCACATTTGTTGGTAAATCAAATAAAACAGTAATTATACTATTTTCTTTTCAATCATCCATGTAACATTTTCTTGTTTCAGAGACGTTATTTGACCTTTGCCGATGAAACACACAATCATATCTCTCAACTTTCAACGCCACTGATAACATTATCAAAGTTGAAAACTTGAAAGCTCTCAAAAAAGGTGCCAACCACACACCCACCATTACCAACGAGTCACCACCATAGCCACATAGAAAGGCTGAGGTGAATAGAAAGATTTGTAGGTGATGAGTGGGGTCCATGTTTGCTTATCCTAAGCATACAACCACACCCACAACTTTGGACGATTGAATGAAAGGCAAAATGCTAATATATATATGAAACGTACGAGACAACGACAACCAAATCTTTATCAAAGCAGAAGCGAATATGCCCAATTCACGGTGTATAAACACCCTGACTCCCCACCATCCCCTTCTTTTTTCCTTTATAATAATTGTTTTTCTAAATGTATTATTTACTGATTAAATATATTCAAATTATTACTTTTAAGTAGTGTTTGATTCGGGAGAAATTTTTTTTTACTATAGAAATGTAATTAATAAGGAAATAGTTGGAAATTGAGTTTAGTAGGAAAATGTAAAAAAAGTTGTTTGGTTGACCAAAATATTACCAGGAAAATTTATTTAAATATGCAAAATCTATGTTCGGGAGAAACTTTGCATCTGCTTTTTCACTTCCCCAGTTATCTCGAAATACCACATCTCAAGTGGTATTCTGTAACAGTGAATTTCATCTAAAAATCAACACAAAATTCATTTTCTCATCTATCCTATTTGCTTAGTATTTTTTGAAAAAACCTGAACCAAACGTGATATTTTTCAATATTAACTTACACTTTCTTATCAATCCCAAAATAAACCTTCAACCAAACACTACCTTAGAAAAGCTATATTTTCCATTAACACGCTGACATTTCCCACCATCACTAGCAACTTTCAACATCAAGGATCATAGATATTTAAGTTCATTGATCTTGTAAGTTTAGCCTTTCGTAATTGTTAGGTTTTTCTAGCCCTACCCATAGTTTTGCCGAGGCCAATCATATCCTGCAATCACTTGGTCGCTACCCACGGTCTACACCTACCGAGGAACTCGTTTAAATCACATGCTAATATCTTCAAAACTATTTTTATTTTATTTTTTTAACAATCCTCTCAATTACTTAAAGTTAAAAATATTAATAAAAAAGTAAACATTTGATTTTATTTTTCTTTAACCAATAAAGAGAATCCATTTAAAAAAATAATGTTGAATCGCCCAAGATAATTACAATGGACGGATATTATATATTTCCAAATTTGAAAAGGTTTTCATTACATAATTCTTATCGGACATTAATTGCTAAACGAATATAGGACACACATTTTAGTCTTGTGCTTACCGAAGCAACATGGCACAAAGTTGGACGGTCCTGATTGATGGATAATATATCCCTAATGAAGCACTACCCACCAATACTATAACACAACAATCCGTGTCTGTCTATCTTTATTAGCAAGTGCAAAACACACTATATTTTCTTCCCCATAGAATTTGTAAGTATAATATAGTAACCCTAATAAGTTCAATGTACGGTAGCGCCAACCACAAACAAACACATCACGATACAACCCTAGTAAACGAAACCCTCCTCTATATATCACCCAAACATTCCAATTCTCTCTCTTTCTCTCTAACAAAGCTCTGAGATAAAGAGAGAGAAACCATATCCTAATATCTCTCTTCCTTCTTCTTTGCATGGGCTGAAGCATTATTTGTAAGTGACTGTGTGACTGTGAAGATGTCTCGCACGTGCTCACAGTGCGGTAACAACGGTCACAACTCCCGCACATGCACCGATGGTGGCGCCGCCGCATCCTGCGGCGGCGGATGCTCGCCGAGAGAGAACGGGATCATGCTGTTCGGCGTGCGAGTCACCGAAGGGAACAACTCCTCCTTCAGGAAGAGTGCTAGCATGAATAACCTCTCCCAATACGAGCAGCCGCCGCCGCAGGACTCCAACGCCGCCGACGCCGGCTACGCCTCCGACGACGTGGTTCACGCCTCCGGCCGAAGCCGCGAGCGCAAGCGAGGTAAGTAGGAACAAGGATATGATAAACGTTTTCTGTGTTTGGATAAGGCTTTCTGTTTGGTTTCAAGGATTGAGTGTTGGGTGTTTGGATTGTTTAATGAAGGTGTTCCTTGGACTGAGGAAGAGCATAAGTTGTTCCTGTTGGGTTTACACAAGGTCGGCAAAGGTGATTGGAGAGGGATTTCTAGAAACTTCGTCAAAACTCGGACACCAACTCAGGTTGCCAGTCATGCTCAGAAGTACTTCCTCCGCCGCCACAATCAGAACCGCCGCCGCCGGAGATCTAGCCTTTTTGACATCACCACCGATACGGTACTTTTAATTTTGTTTTAAGCATTTTAATTATTATTTATTTATTTTGTTCCTCTTCGTCATAGATCTAATTTTGATTTAATTGATTTCTTAATTTTTTTTTATTTTTTATTTTTAATTTAAGATGATGGAATCTTCTACCATAATGGAAGAAGAACAAGTTCAACAAGAAACGATGCCACCACCAACACCGGCCGCATATCCGCCGTCACATTACGGTGGCTTCTCCGGCTCCGCTTTCCCGATGGCTCTGACTCCGGTGGTGTTGCCGGTGTCGGGTGGTGAGAGACCAGCGAAGCCGATTAGGCCAACGCCGATTTTGCCAATTCCTCCGTCTTCCAAGTTGGCTAACTTGAACTTGAAAGAGAAAGCTTCTCCTCCTCCTCCTCTCATTGAGCCTCTGCCATTGTCGCTGAAGCTTCCACCGTCACCGCCGTCAATGGAGCAGTCGCCGCCAGCTACTAGCCTTTCATCGCCATCGTCGTCGTCCTCGGCTTTTCAGGCTATGTCTGCAGGAAAGTTCAGCGGTGGTGGGGATAGTATTATCACTGTTGCTTGAAAAGAAGGAAAAAAAAAAAAAAACAGTGTGATTTAATAACTTAAATTGGGGTTTGTAAATTACGGTTAAAGTTGGAAATGTACCCAAGAGACAAAAAAAATTGAAGATAAGTTAGAGATTAATTAATTAATTAGATGAGATAATTTATGTAGGAGGGAAGGGAGATATGATTATATGAATATGATGATGATATTATGGTAAAAAATGGTTAGGTTATGTAGGTGATTAATTAGGAGATTAAATTGTTGGTTTTGATGTATAGCGATAAAGGAGAGAGAAGATGGGTTGTCATATTCTGTAGGTGTTGGAGGGTTGTTCTTGTTTCTATTTGTTTGGGGTGGGAGTGTGACCGTGAGATGATAGGGGACCGGGTACTCTTGCTCTGCTATTGGTCTGTTTATTGCAACTTGGGGTTCTTTAAAGTATTAGCTTAGGCAAAGAGGAATATATTATGCTCAATCTTCTATTCTTGCGCGTCTGCCATTGTGTTCTTTTCTTTTTTTCCCCTTTTGTTTGGTTGGACATTGTTCAACTATTAATTCCGGTTTTAATTCCATGATAAGTTAGTGATGGGAAAAGATGAATAGTAATCATAATACTTGTTAAAATCAGAGGGGGAAAAACACTGAAATTAGACCCTGTTTCGGCACTACTTAATATTTTTTAAATTATAAGTAAAAAAAGTTATAATTTTCATTATTCACTATGTAACACTTAATATAAAATTTTATAATCTATAATCTTAAAATAAATAATATGATATTTTCTAAAAGGAATTTATTTCTAAAGTTAGAAATAATAAATATACATATAATTGGAGGAAGAGGAGCGACATTTGGTAAATACCCTTGCATACATTAATTGGTTGCAACATTCTCATAAGCACTTTCTATCGTAATATATATCTCTTAATTTACTGCAATCTTTTTTTTTTTTGGAGTTACCCAACTCTAATTATCTCTTTGAGACGAGTTGGCTCCCTCCGGTATCCCCACGAGCTTCGACTCTTTGAGCCGGCTATGAGACTAATCCGGAGTGCGGGGGAACAGTGATGGCTAAAGGTTCAGCCCCCTCCCCAAGAATGCATTCAGCGGGAATCGAACACATATCCAACCCCACTAACTAAAATTACTGCAATATTTAATTTGACACATATCCAACACCAGTAATTTACTGCAATCTTTAATTTGACACGATCGAACTTCAATATTGTTAAAATTGAGATTTTAACTAAAATTAAAAAAAAACTAAAAAAATCGTAAAACGTAAAACCGTAATATAAAAAAATCGTAAAAAATAATAAAAACATAAAAGCGTTTGAAATATCGGTAAAATCGTTTTGATGAAAAAAAATCATAAAAATATAAAATCGTAGTGATAAATCGAGATTTTAATAACTATGATCGAGTTGAATTCAAAAGTATTATATAATTCAGGGAGATTTTTATGTTGAATGGTATTTTACATCATATTACGTAATGTTAATTATGCAAACTATAACCCGCAAACTGTGCTCCAAAGATAGGACACGTGTTTGATCTTTGACAGATGTTTTTTGAAATAGATGTGAATACCTTTGCACTCTGAGCTCAAATGAAGGATTATTGTGGTTTAATGTATTATCTATTTCAATAAGGAGCTAGGTTTAGGATCGTATTTCGAGAATAAGATAGCTGGAGGAAATTTAGTGCGGATATCTCCAATGAAAAATAAAAAATAATTATGCAAGCTATTTTTTATTTTAACTATTATATTTATTCTTAATTTAAAAAATAAAAATGACATTGAAATTTGAATCTACAATCTTATGCCAATTATTCATATCTCTCATCACTCAACTAATTCTAGTGGCTTTTTATTCTTAATTCATTACATTTGTTTTTTTATTACAATTGTTTGGATGTTTTACTTAACTATTCAATGTAAAATTTTAATGCACGAGTAGCATGTGCATCTTTTCTTTACTTTACTATGTGAGCGCACGAGTAACGTGCTTGATGATTATTATTAAACTTTTAGCATTAATTTTTTTATCTTGTTTTATATATAAATTTAGGGGAAATTGTTTCTTATGTTGCTGAAGAACAATTCCCCATTCCTGCAGATACATCAAAATTATCATCTTTTAATTATTGCTTTTTGGTTTAAATTTGAAGTGGGCTCCACCAAAATTTTCTCTCTGCAGGAAAGTCGCTCATTGTGCGGCAACAGAAGAAAATGATTACCCATATATTTATTAAAACTAATACTTTGACCCTTTACATAACCGATGCGATTAAAAAAAGTTTAAATGTGCGCGCACGTTGGATTCTACTCTCTTGTAGTGTTTACAATAGCTAGGTCCCACATGCTTTCTATATAGGGAAATATTCTTTTATAGACATAAATTGAGGAAAGAGGAAAGAGAATAGATAAGAAATATTATTTTTGTGTCTGCACAAAAATATTTTTCTCTCTTGTTTTGTGAGAAAACAATATCTTTTATATATTCAGAACCATATTTCTTATTCTTATAGCTAGTGTCAAAAAGTATATTACTTTGTGATTATGCTTAATTTTTCCAAGCCGGATGTTGTCTACACTTAATTGCTTATTCTTATTCATTTTGCTTTTGAGCCCGTTTGTTTTATCTTTAAGAAAAAGTAAATTTTACTTCTTTTTTATTTTAAAGTGTTTTTTACAAAAATTAAAGCTATTTATATTTGAATTTTATAAGAGTTATGTTATAGGAAAAATTACCATGTCATGTTGTAGAGATTCGTTTTTCGTATTTATTTATTTTTTCTTATTTTCGTAAATTGTGAGCTCCACAAAATATTGTGTCTCTAAAAAACTTTATCATGTCATGTTGCATGACAAACGAAAACCCCTTTATATTTTTATAAAAATATTTAGTTTTTTTTAAAAATATTTAGCTTTTGATTTCTACTATTTTTAGAAGTTAAAATTTTTAATTTCTAAAAAAAGTAAGTTTTTAGCTTTTTTTTGTGACTTCTTCTTTTTTAAAAACAGACATACAAATGAATTTAAGTTGAAAAGAAAAACTTTTAAAAAAAGTTCATCCAAATGTACCCTTGTGTTATATGCTGCGGCATTTTAGAGGGGATAAAATCTACCTAAGCGGCTTAGATTAGTACGGTGATTGTCTTTAGGATCCACTAAGGTTCATTCATTATAAGATAAAACTGGAGCAGGAATTAGTGACTAACATTACTTGTTCCTTTTGTCAAATTCTAAAGCCATTCAAGAAGGAGAGAAAAAAGAGAAATCAATAATAAAGAAGTACCTTTAGTCTCGGTAAGGAGAAAATTCCTTTTTTCCAATTTTGCGTCTATCAAATCAAATTTTAATTATATGATTTAAACCTTTGTTAGAAATTAAAAAGAAGAAGATGTGTTCATGCATATGACACACGATATATTTAGTTCTTCACTGACCTTATTGGCACAAAATAGAAAGGAAGGAAAGCTAGTTAATTGATATAAGTTTACACAGTAGATTCTAATGCTATGAAAAAAGCTACTTAATTATACTGGTGTCTGGAGGAGGAAGGTGTGGCAGAAGCTACTTATTGGCACAAGTGTTTCCCTGAACTAGTTATAGTATTAGCAGTATCAGCATCTTTCCTAATCTTTCTGAAAACATGGCTTATATAGTTCTCAGCACTGACATTAATATCGTTTGTTTGTTGTCTAACAAAGGTTGGCCCCTCCATTTCTGACTCCAATTGGTAGGAAAATTGCTTTCTGGTCCTGTCTGACTCTCGTGATCTTTGATTCATTTTGTAAAGTTTTGATGCCGAAGTTGTGTTATCTATTCTCATGGGTTTCATGTTGTGGTGGAAGGTTTGTTGTGAAACACAGGTCAGCAAACCTGAAACATGCCAAGCTGATGATGTTTGCCAATAATAACATTGATTACTTGAGTCTGTAGTCCTTGTTAGCCATAGTAAAAAGTGTGTGGAAGCTGCAAAGATTTTACATAGAAAAGAGTAGGTGATAGCTAGAATTAATGCTACTATGCATGAAAAATAGAAAACTAAAACGAGAATTCAAATGGGTTATGGAATAATATCATTAATGCATACTTTTGAAAGAGGATTCAATGGAAAAAGGAAATTGTCTTGTGAGAAGTTTGATCTCTTTATGAATAAGATATGAGTCATCTCACTACTGCTAATTAAGTTGTCTTGTTGGGTTTGAGAGAGTGAAAATAGAAGCACTGATTCGGTGATTCCTGCTGCCTTAACTTCTTGATTTAATTTGTCTCCGGAAAGACCTTGTAGCTAAGATTCTAATGTCTGTGTTGTAATTTGGGAAATCCGTTTCAAAACAGTAACGCAAGAAACATAACAAGAAAGAATAAAGAAAGCATAAAGCGACGAGACACCAGTATTTTACAGGTTCAGAAACTCAGGGTTAGTGAGTTTCCTACGTCCTGGGGCCTAAAGAGGGTTAAACGCCCTCTGATATGCAGTTTATTCAAGATCAGAAAGAAAAACAAGAGTTCACAGTATACAGAAACAAGCTATACAGAAACTAGCAAGAGAGGAACCTAATTTCTTGAGAAATAACAACAAGACAAACAGATCTTGAATAAACACTCAAGATTAAGAACGGTAAACAACTGATATTACAAAGATGAAGAAGACTTCCCAATCTTCACAAGCTAGCATAGGAAACGTAGTTCCTATCTCTGGACCTCAAAGCTAAACACACGAGCTTCACAGGACCACCTTGCAGATTATCTTCTCCAGCATTTGAATACCAATCAAAAGATCTCACCGATCAAAGGAACCGTCTTGTTGAGATGAACCTCACCTTATTCAATATTGTCCTATTCATCCTCTCAGCCACCCCATTTTGCTGGGGTGTCTCAGCACAGGTCCTATGCCTTTGGATCCCATGCTCTTTGCAAAAATCAGCAAACTGATTGTTACAAAACTCTAAGCCATTATCAGTCCTAAGAACTTTAACCCTTTTTCCAGTTTTATTCTCAACCAGGATTTTCCAATCCTTAAAACTAATAAAAGCTTGATCCTTATGTTTTAGGAAGTAGGTCCAGACCCTTCTGGAATATGAGTCAACTATTGAAATGAAATAGTGACATCCAGATAAAGAACTGGGGATATTAGGAGATCCCCACAGGTCTGAATGGACATATTCAAGCACTGCCTTAGAGGTATTGCTAGCTGCAGCAAAGGGGAGCTTGTGAGTTTTTCCCAAAATACAGTTTTCACAAAACTCCACACAAGTTACCCCTTTTGAGCTAATAATACCTTGCTTATACAGCTCAGACAGCCCCTGGTTGCTGATGTGTCCAAGTCTCCTATGCCAGAGAATGGATTCATCAGCTTTTACAGCTGCTTCACAGGCTTCTTGTGTGACAGCTTGGCCTTCTAATATATAGAGGTCATTCACAAGTTTTCCTCTCATGAGGACTTGTGATCCCTTGACAATATCAAGCAGTCCTTGCTTACTTCTAAACTCAAGACCACTACAGTCAAGCATCCCTAAGGAGATCAAGTTTCTCCTTAATGCAG